CTAGGGTTGGAAGGGAAGTATGTGAGAGAGAGAATGCATGATGGATAGCCTCTCAGGGCTGTCTGCATGTGAAGAAAGAGGCCCTCCCTTGCAGAGGCACAGTGCTCTCCAGACAGACTTCAGATGTGAGGGGCACAGAGCCAGGCCAGCTGTGTGGAGCTGTAGCCCAGCCAAGCGGCCAACTGTTTGCTCCCAGCCAGGGCTGCAGAGCTGCCGCGATCCTCCACTGCTGTGGATAGCATGCTCCTTTTTTCCAGTCTGCACCAAAGGTCAGCACAAGAAAAAGAGATTCTTTGGTTCTGGCACTACATAATTAATATAAAACCTTTGTGCTCTGGCCTGCGAGACACATGCATGCATATTTCATCCATCTTGATATTAGCAGTTCTGAAGTTCCTGGGTTTCAAGGGACCCTTTTTGGAGACAGCCAGCTGCTTTATTTTCAACCACGTGTCCATTAACCATGCTCTGACCTTCCCCAGTGCCCCTGTGACCTGCCCTTTTAGTTTCTGTGTAGAACTCTCTGGAATCTCAGCATCCTGGCTGGGAGGCCCTGGGATTCTTCATCAACTTCAGGATCTATGGAAAACACCCCCCAGGAGGCAAGGCCCAGGCTTGTCAAACCGCATGCCTTTCCAGTTGTACCATTTGATTTCCATTGGTCTGCAAACCCTCCTTTCTGGGCTGGTTTTAGGGCTGCATTCCCCAAGGGCTGTAGTAACTTTTAGAAAACGAAATGGACCCTCCACTTATGTTGCGACTCACTACTTTTGGAGTCCTGATGGTGGAAGACTTCACTATTTCTTGGACGAAGTGGTCAGCATCATGACATTAAATTATTTGTTAAGAGACACACAGTCTACTTGACAATCCAACTTTTACGTCTTGAGGAAAGACTTTTCAACAGATTTCAGTGAGGACCATGATGATGTCCTAAGAAAGACCAGCTACGCCTTGACTTGCTGCATACTGACAACATTCTGCATGTTCTGGTCTAACCAGACTGGGGAATGTTCAGATATGGCTGCCTTCCATCTCCAGGTCACACTACGGCTACTATTACTTTCTTAAGGTTTTGTGTTGTATTAAATTTAAATTTTAATTGGAAAATTAAATTTACAGAAATAAAGTTCTTCTGTCTGCTGGTTCACTCCCCAAGTGGCCACAATGGCCAGAGCTGAGCCGACCCGAATTCAGGATCCCAAGCTTCTTTAGGGTCTCCCACATGGGTGCAGGGTTCTAAGGCCTTCGGTCATCCTCTACTGTTTACCCAGGCCACAAACAGGAAGCTGGATGGGAAGTGCAGCAGCTGGGATATGAACTTGTGCCCAAATGGGATCCTGGTGCATGCAAGAGGAGGACTTTAGCCACTAGGTTACCATGCTGGGCCTGTGTTGCTTTGAATTTTAATTAGTCTTAACACATGGTTGTGCTCACCTCCACCATGTTTGGAGTTCAAGTTGATTGGTCCATTTTGATTGTTCCTTTGGGAAAAGAGCTGGCAGCTCCAAAGTCCTTCCACTGACATCTATGGGAAGCATAGAGCTCTCTTAAGCACCTTGGTGGGGACCCAGCAAGGTGGCTGGCATTCCTTAACCATTCCTGTCCCTTTGGTGAAATATCTCATAGCAGGATATGACATTTTGCCTCTGGGTCCAAATAACTTTACCAGAGTGTTATACATGGTTCTCTGCAGCCAAATACCACAAGTAGTCCTCAGTTTAAGGATTATGTAACTCTGGCATTCTGTGGGCGACGTATATGGTTGTGCAAAGAGAGGGCAGTTCTGTTGGAAGGTGAAAGTCTCAGCTGGTGCTTAGTTGCAAACAGGAGGATCAAATCAGGATGTTGGCTTTGGCGAGCATTTTTCCTCCTCTGGAGATTTTTGTGGATGGCATTTAGCAGTTCCGCACACACATGCACACAATTGGGTATTGTCTAGCCACTGTACAAAGGTCAGCTCTGGGGACACAGCAGTCTTGCAATTCCTGATTCTTGCTGATTCCCATGGTGTAGGTCAGAAGAGGTGCACTTTTATAACAGCAAAGTATGGGATAAGAGACTGACATCTTACTAATCATTACCCAATAAATGTATCTGTTCAGCTGTTGAGAGAAAGCCTTTTCTGTCCAATGCTGACTGATTTCTTCTTAACTTTCAGTGCACCGGTTCAATCAGTAACACTATTTTGTTAGGGCAGTTTATCAAGATGCCTAAATTCTCTGAAAAAATGGGATACAGGTTAACTTTGGCTAAAATGTACATAACGGGTTCTGGGACCAGAAATTGCTGTGAAGTGATGTTTCTCTTAGGAGAGGATCCATATCCGTTTTCCTGTGTGATAAGCAACATGGGGTTATAGTGCTAGGGACTATTTTGTCTAACTTCTTGAAGTCATACACTTAATTCTATGGAGGTCTAGGAACCACAGGCCAAGTTTACACAGTTAATAGCTGAGCCGGCTGTAGATCTTTTTTTTTATAAACAAATTCTATCTGGTTTGCAAATTCTTCCCCAACACCAGATGGAGAATTGGAATTCCTTTCCCTTACCTGTTAACACTCTTCTCACAGAAAATCTTAGGGGAAAATGTAAAGAAAGGGCAATAAAAAAGAACTTCATGATAAAATCCTGACTGGAAATTGGATGCATCATCTAACCACTTACAAAAATTACAAATGTTCTTAATCATAAAACATTTAAAGGTAGATATGTTAGTGCTTAATTAGATGAAAACACTATGTGCAACTAATTAAATACACATGGATATGTGGCTGTTTCTGATGCAATTTTAGAAAAAAAGCTGTCTAGCCTGGAAACACAGGCTTAGAATTTTCAGGATTCTCTCCCAACCGTGAATGGCTGGCAACAAAGAGAAATGCAATAAATAAATGACTATTCCTGTTGTTTTGCTTTATTCATTGCTTGCTTGCTGAGGAATTTAATTTTGTCTGGTGTGACAGGCACAAGAAGGAGCCACGTGGGGGTGGGGAGGAACCCAGAAGCCTTCAGAGTTGGCCTTCCAGAGAGTGACAGGCTAAAGGCCTTAGAGCCCTAGAGTTGGAGAAAATCTTGTTGCCATTGATGGATTTCTCCTTGTCTGACAGCTTACAGGAATGAATACAGTGTGAACAATGAAAGGATTCTTTCCAAACACTGGATGGGTTCCCTTGGAGGACTCCCACTCCTTGGGGCTGCCCTATGTGTGCCCCAACAGGCTGAGGTCACACACAGGCTTCCAGGGGGAACAAACATCCTAGATGGAGGCTGTTCACAGGGCTCACTCCTCCTGGCTGCTCAGACACCACAAGGGGTTCTCTGCAGAGAGGTTAGATGCCTTTCATAGGAGACCCCTGGGGCACACTATGCGTGGATTCTAACGTCCTGACCCCAACAACAGCCTGGGAACAGTGCTACGGAGTGACCTAAAATTAAGCACATTTAATAATAATTTACACATTTATTGCAGTGAGAATAAACTTTTCATCATCTGCACCCCTCCCCCATTATCCTTTCCTTTCACCAATAAGGAAAGTCAGGGGTTCTCTGTCTATATTTTTTCAATAACAATTGCAAAGGATGTCTGGCTAGACTGGAAAGGGAAATTAAATTACTTAAGAATGGAATTTCCATGTCAAAAGGAAATACAAAGAAAAGGGGCTTCTGCTTACTGAGGTAGTTGTGCAGGGGGTGGGCTTGTGAAAGGCTATTTATTCTCTTAATCGCCAGGGGAGCCTCTATCACTTCCCAAAGCCTTTCAGGCGCAGTGACCTGCTAGCAGAGGGGTGCCCCTTGGGGTGAAGCTGTCACTGGGCAGGGCATTTCCTCAGTTCCCTGCAGGGCCCAGGAAAGAAGTGGCAATCAGAAGTGGTTTTCCAGTAGTGGCCCACTTTCTTGGCCTCCTTGAGTGGACAGTTTGTGAATGCAGGCGAGGAGGAGGGCAGGTAACAGGAAAACAAACTGTACTGAAAGAGAAAACAAGCAGTGGGGCCACAACACACAGGTCCTTCCACAGCACTATGTGGGGCCGGGTGACAAGTCCAGGGCAGCAAGGAAAGGATGGAAGTGGCTAGTTAACTTGCCTCCTGCCTGGCTGTGAGTGTGACCTATGAGCACTGGCTTATTTGTAAAATGAGAATGTTACTAACAGAAGGAAGCGTCAAAAGTTTCATGCAGTGATCCCTGGATACTTCCAGAACCCTCCTTGGAGACAAAAAAAACTACAGACTTCCGGGCCCATTACATGTATGTAAAATGGCATGGTCTTTGCATAAAACCTCACGCATCCTTAAAATTTCTTTAGATTACTTGCAATATTTAGTGCAATGTGAATGCCAGATAAATTGCTTTCCTATATTGTTGAGGGAATCACAAGGGAGAAAAAAACCTAAACATGCTCAGTGTAGCTTCACTTTTTTCTCTTGAAGTATTTTTGATCCTAGGTTGGCTGAATACTGGGATGCAGAACCCATTGTTGTTATTGCTATTAGTGCAAGTATGCTTTAGAGGTACTAGGTGACTGAAATTGCTCGTATCAATGGTTGATTCAATACACAAAGCATCTGGAGAGGGAACAAGACAAGCTGTACAAGCTCCTGGACAATAAAACTGTACTGGGAATCTCTGCTTCTAAAGCTTTAATAGTTAAGGAGAGGGAAAAGCGATGGTATGATAAATGGTGTTAGCATTTCTTCTGTCCTATGGTTAATTACAATGAAATTATGGACCTGTTCAACTTCATTGTAGAAGGGTGAACAGGATCAGATTTTTAACAAGAACAGTTTTTCCAACTCACAACAAAGCAAATCTACACTGGGGTCTCTGCATTCCGACCCTAACAGCCCTGAAGAAGAGGAGTTTGCTATTGTAGGAATCTAGTTGCACAGACACTTGCTGTGGTTGAGGCGTTTGGCATTAAATAAAGTGTCATCGAGTCTACAGAACACCAGTTCAAGAATGTGCAGGAATAAGGCACACTTTGAAAGAAAAAAGAATGAGGCTTGAAAAAAAATCATCATTAGTATATTTTGCTTTCACAGCTAAAGAAATCTGCAATCACCATTGACTTCAATTTTATTATCCTTTGCTTTGCATTAGGTAAGTTTTACCTGAATACTCTGAGTAGATGAGTTTCCATTGAAGAATCTGTTAGTTTGAGCATTTCATTTCAGCTACCCAAGTGTGAAAAGGTGGGGAGGCACTGGGAGAATCAGCAGAAATTGGAGACTCAGGCAAGACATCTTGACCCTTCCACCGGGGCGGAGAAGAACGAGACATTTGCTCTTTATTGTGTCAAGAGCCTATGAAAAGTCACATGGCAGAGCAAGCCCGCTAAAGATCTTTTGTCTTCTTTTGGCTTTGGCCAAGAAAATCCAACCTTGTATACAAATCTGCTGTGGGGAAGACTTTCAGGGGGTTGAACACTACACAGTCAATGCTTGCTAGGCAATATGTGGTGGGGAGAATGCAGAACCAATGCGGGATGGTAGCATGTTGGGCTTGTATCTCAAAGTAGAGCGGGGAGTGAGAGCCCCCTTTGGCGGGATCCCTTCTCATCTCAGGTGACAGATCATATGCGATATCAGAGGCATGGAGTCTTTTATCCCTCTGGGTTTAGGAAACAGAGACCAACCATTGCCTTGATCTTTTATGAAATGCAGGTCAACCTGCTTCCTTGAGTGACTTCTAAATCATCAACGTTTATTGGAAGATTCGTGCACTAGTCTCCCCTCCTCTGTCTTGCTCAATTCTGATGACAGAGCAGGCAAAGAAAGGCCCAGGAAAGCCAGAATTATCCAGTCCTTGCATGGGCTCACTTTGCACATGTTTCCTTTTCTTCAGAATATTCTTTATTTTTGTCTTATTTCATGAGGGTGATGAAGGGCATTCCTTAAACACCTGACAGCATAGTGGAGGTGAAGATCTGTTGTAGAATCTGAGGGATCTCCTTGGTATCCATGGCAATGAAAGACCGGCCAGCCGGCAAGGTCCTCTGGAGCCTGCAGAGATGGAAGAGGAGGGAGGTCACCACGTGGATAGGGCTGCCTCTCACCCTCCTGCCCCGGCAGATCACTGCGTCCACCTGGGTTCTTAGGATAGGAAGTATTTCCTTTCTAATACCTTGTCTACTGCCTTCAAGTGAACTGGCTCTGTTACTAAGCAATGCAAGGCTTGGAAGAACAAAAGAGATACAGAGAAGGCAGTGAACCAAAAGAAAAGTCTTTTCAGTGAGAGAATCAGTTAATTTAAAAGGAAGAAAATGTCTTCTTTCTGGTCCCGTCATTTCCTGGCATTTTATATTCTCTTGGCAGAGTCTCTTCTGCGAGTCTCCCATCTGTGATGAGCTCAATCAGGCTCAGTGAATGTGCCGGCCTCATGCTGCACTTCTAAGTGCTTTTCCTGCCCCCAGAAATGCTGCCCAGAAAACCCCAAGGCATATTTTTCTCTCTTCTCTCTACCCCCACTCTGTTTCTTTTGCTTCACATCACACAATGTGAAATGAGATCTGGATTATCCAATCGCTGCTTCGATGACATTGAGCTTACATAGGCTTATGAAAACGTTTAAAAAAATATCAACTTATCATTTGGAACAAAAGACCATTTTAGAAGGCAATAAAATGGCAAGACACAGTTCTATTCAAACGAATAGCTCCCTTCACTGTGCCAACAACTTTTGGTTTGGGAATGACATTTAATAAGTCAGCCATTCTGTGTAGTATCATACATTTGGCATGCCTGGTAGACCAGCTAATTCTGTAACATATCTTTTGCCAGGGGATGTTGGACCATTTCCCTAGGAAACCACAAGGGTATTATTATGCTTTCTTAAGTATTCAAACAGGATCTGTTCACTAGAAAGACAAAATAGCCTTTGCAGCCCAAGCAGCGTTTGTTGAGCTTGCTTTCAGCCTAATATTGGGCTGCTGGTGAGGAATATCTGGGCAGAAAAAAACATGGTTTTCTTTGGAAGACCTGGAAGTTGTAAAAGATGTGAAAATGCTAACATACAAAACTGAGAAAAATGAAGAGTAAATGTAATTAAGTGAGTGTATTATTATAATTTTAGGTCTATTCCTGAGCTTACTCTGCAACCCAGTAGTGGGGCAAAGGGAATAGAAAACAATGCTAGCATTTTGTATTTTTAATATTTCCTACTCCCCATAGGACTATGCCACAGAGCAGAAAGATCAAGGTTAGTGTATCCAAGTTAAGAAAAGTGTTTCCAGCTTTCTTCTTTCAGATCATTCCCAATTGCATTTATTGTCTGACAACAAATTTCTTGAATGACTATTCATTCACTGTAACATCTAATGGTGTATACCATCTTTGCCCCTAAGAGCTTCTCCTGCCTAGATCTCATCAGAAGGGGAGATGAATGTTTATGTGTATACAGGCCTACATATGAGTATATGCAACTTTTATCCATCCATCTATCCATCTCCCCTTCTTACTGGGAAGATACAGGATAGAACTTAAGAAAGTCAATGGAAATAGGAATTATAAAAAAATTAACTCTGCATGGATCAACAACTTTTTGCAACAAAATAAACTCATGCCTTTTATTCTACATCTCTATGAACCTTTTGAAGTATCCTCATATCCATCTATCTGCATAATGTACACATAGACATATACCCAGGCATTATCTCTTAAGCTAGGAAAACAGATGTTCCTCATTTTTAATAGATTTGAATGCAAACTGATTAGACTCGGAGTGGCACTTTCATGTAACATACCAAATGTCTAAATTACTGTCTAACTTGTTATTGGACAGCTTGCTGATCATTTGGCTTCTTACTGATTCTTGGAGATAGCATGTGAGATAGCATTCTCTTTACAGCTGCTCTTCATTGTATACTGGGATCACACTCACCTGGTGGCTTGGTCACCTAAAGATCCAATAAAAATGGCAAAAGCATTTACTTGAGGGTCACTTGTTAAGATTTGGGCAAACTTGTCAGGATGTATTCCATATCGTGACAGATTTGCATCACTCAAAACTATGACGAAGTACTCATCAGCTTCTTCCTTGGCAATTTCCTTGATGGCATGTTTTGTTCCCTCTAGCGTGTGGTCCCCACTCATGCAGAACTGAGAGTGGGCATGCATTGTCTGGAGGCAAGAGACATTGCACAAAAGCCATGGATGAGAAGCTTATTTTAAAAAGTAGACATGATGGTTTTTCCATTGGCCATGAGAATGCACACTTATCATACATTTGTAAAAGCTTTCTGAGTTCAACTTAATTTGAATATTACAATGACAATAGTACACAGTGCTATTTGTATTTGGTAAACATTGTCATTATAAATAGGAAATATTGCAAAACTATCATGGTTGGCATAATTCAAAGGTAAGCTTCCATTAAAAGTGATAAAATGCAGGATAATGTCAAACTTGGTATCACACAGAAGGATAGTTATGATATAGGATATGATAAGGAATAGGCAGATTTTCCCAGAAACAAAATTTTAATACTAAACATGGTACTTGTACCAAGAGCAATGAAGAAAATTTGCTTTTGAATCATGGTATTTGTTTTCTACTACAGATTTAAGTAGCTAAAATGACATTTATAATTAGAAAATACTAAGAACTACTTAAAATTGGGAATAAGAAAGGAGGTGTTCTTTCCTTCTACTGAACATATGTGACTGAGAAAAACTGTGTAAGACACATGAAGAGGTGTAGAATCCCACCACCTTTCCAACTTGATACAAAGATCTCTAAAACTATGTAGGAAACAACGAGTACATTCTGTATGGTGGAGACAAGTTTTTTTTGGCACCAAGGTGCTTCTTCTGAATGTCAAAAACAAAGGCCGTTCCCTACCATAGCTATTGTTTCTTCAATGAATCTTTTCAGTCTTTACCCAATTGCCTTGAAGATCTTAAAATACAGTTGTAATCAAATTACATTTACCTTCAGAATTTCAAGCCTTTGCTTATTGTTCTTGGGGATTTTGTTAACCGGAACAAGGCCTATGTTGTAGCCATCTCCAGAGTGTCCAACGACGTCATACTAAACACAAGACAGAGAGTTAGAAACCTGTGTCCATTATAGGAGGGTCTTGGGCCTGTGAACCTTTGACTTGCTGGTATGTTTTTGTGCAAAATTGCTCAACATTTGGCCAAAAGGAAGTGTAGAGACACCTGCTTTTATCAATAGAGGCAAACAAATTCCAGAGGTACTTGTTTCTGATGAGTACCCTCTCTCCTGTGGTCTCTGGTCATCAGCAAGAGTGTAGAAGTGTGATGCCAGCTTCAGGAGTGGATACCACAAATTCCATCCTGGAGACCTCAACACGTTACACACACACACACACACACACACACACACACACACACACACACACACACAATGCAGAGATTCCTCCCCCCACCCCTGCCTCCACTGGTGACAGAAGAGGAAGACATATCTGGAACAAGAGTAAGATTTGACAGGAGGGAGTAATCTACACTTAGAAGGAGGGGACTACGGGACAAAGGCCTGGCAGCAAGCAGCCTCTGACAGCTCTGGCTCAGCCCCAGAGGGAAACAGGGCGTTCTGTCCCACAAGCACAGGAACTCAGGCTGAGCATTCAGGTGGGAGCCCAGCCTGACTGACGCCTTGCTTCAGCCTCCAAGGCCCTCAGCAGAGAGCCCAACTGGGCCAGTCTGAACTTAGGAACTCCAGAGCTATGTGTAAATAAAATGCTATTTTTAAGCTATTTTAAGCTGTTATGTTTGTGGTCATTTGTTATGCAACAATAGAAACTATTACAAGGGTACTTCAAAAAGTCTGTGCAAACTGGAATTAAAAGACGTTTACTTTGAGATTAAAAACACTTGAATTCCAGGCACAGTTTTTTGTTCATATTATGCACTTTCCACAAACTTTTTGAAGATCCTGATATGTATCATTTTCTTCAATTCATCAAAGTTAAACACATGCATTGTACAGATTAGAGAAAAGAACAGAGTAGAAATTACTCACAATTCCATTAAATATAATCTCTGCTACTGCTTTGCCATATAAGCTCTCAGGCTTCTGTGTTCTTCTAATACATGTGGAAGAGGCTGCATGTTTACATACGAACTATTCACATTGATACAATTTGTAGCTGATATGGATAGTTGTTGATCCCAAGATTTTATCATGGACTTTGTTACTTACTAGTATGTGACATATATTTTTCAATTTTGGAAGTGTCTTTTAAATTTCCTATCATTATATACACAGAATTTAAAAAAAGATTCATTTTATTTTTTATTGGAAAGTCAGATATACAGAGAGAGAGGAGAGGATCTATCTTTCATCCACCAATTCACTCCTCAAGCGGCTGCCACGGCCAGAGCTAAGCCCATCTGAAACCAGAAGCCAGGAGTCTCCTGCTGGCTTCCCATGGGGATGCAGGGGGTCAAGGATTTGGGCCGACCTCCACTGCTTTCCCAGGCCACACGCAGGGAGCTGGATGGGAAGTGAGGCTGCCGGGATCAGAACCAGTACCCATATGGAATCCCGGTGCTTGCAAGGCAAGGATTTTAGCTGCTAGGCTAGTGTGCCGGGCCCCCAGAATTTTTATCTGTTGAGAAAAGGATTCACTTTGTAGTCAGGTGCAGCTCTTTTCCCAAGTCAAGGAAGCCTGGTCCATAGCAAATTATCATTGGAGCAAGGCAGTTCACTCCAAATGCAGGGTTGGCTTCCAAATACCTTCTCTCCACTCACCTCCCTCTAAAAACTTTTGTGAGGTAGATAGAGAGGTTGCAACAAACCATGAGGTGGCTCTACCATGGGCATTTGCAAAGAAAATCCTGAGTGTGGATGTGAGGCAAAGATCTTAGGGTGCACCTGGAGCACTGTTGGATAAAATGATCAGGAATCCCTGACATCAAGGAACATCAATGCCCAGCTGGTTTTTTTGGATATCTACTGTGTGCAAAAACACTATTTGGAGTGCAGGAGTATGCAATGATTTTTTTTTTAAAAATATCTGTTCCTTTGAAAATGGTGAGTTCTTTGAAGCTGTTAGTTATCTTTGGATTTTTAGAATATCTGGGAATGTTTAGTATGTGTACTCCACAAATGCTTTAAGACAGCTTGCCATCAAGTTGGGGCAAAAAGCAGCTTACTTCAGCATGAGGGCTACATTCTTTTACAGATAAGTTGTTTGGAAATTGGAAGGCATTTCTCTCCAGCAGTCATGTCATAAATGCTCGTTAGTCCAAGCTCGCTGACAAAAACAAAAAACAAAACAAAATAAAACAAAAAAAACAAACACCATAACACAACCAAAATCATGGCATTTAAAATGAAAAAGTAGAAAAATTCCTGAAATCATTATTATGCAAACATAGAAGTTATCTTGAGGGGTTGGAGTTGGGGGAACTTAGCTGCATTGGATGTGCTGAACTTGCGTGGGAAGAGATGTGGCTGGAGCCTTCCTCAGAAGGGTGTCATATATGGAAGGCCATGTAGATTTACTTACTGATTGGAAAGTCAAGAGTTATAGAGAGAAGGAGAGAGGGAGAGAGAGATGTTTGATCTACTCCCCAGATGGTTGTACTGGCCAGCCCTGGGCCAGGCTGAAGTCAGGAGCCAGGACTTCCATCTGAGTCTTCCATGTGGGTAATAGGGCTCACACAAGTGAGCCAACTTATGCTGCTTTTCTCGGGGTACTAGCAGGGAGCTATGTCAGAAATGGAGCAGCTGGAACATGAGCTGGCACCCATAGGGATGCCACAGTCACAGGCAGCAGCTTTGCCTGTTATCACAATGCCAACTTCAAGATGTGCAAATATTTAAAAGCTGCAAATCTGCCCACAAAATACTAAATAAATCATATTCTCTCTTCCTACTTCGATTATGATGATGTAAGAAACCACAGTCAGATGTCAAATGTTTGGATTCCTTGGAGTTCTGGGATAATACATGCATACTGGCCCCTGGCCCACCACTTGGACAGCACTCAGACTTTGGAGGAGCCCACAACTATTGGCCAGTGTGCCGCAGAAAGATGGATCTGGGTAAAAGGTCCACGCACAAGTTGGAAACAGCCCTCGGGACATTGGCTCAGGATCACTGGGGACCCTGTTCCCAGGAGGCTGATCCAGAAATAGGCTTACTCCTCTGTCTCCATAGACATTTTGTGTTATGGAGGTGGAGGCAGAATCAAGGGCGCTCCAGAGTGGAGCTATAGCAGGGGGAGAGTGAGTCCCTTGTGCCTGGTTGTAAGGTTTCTGTTATAAATGCAATGGATGATACAAAGAAACTGTGAGGGGAATTTACCAATACATTAGATAAAGGATGATAAGTTCTTTGTTAAGATGCAACATGTTGCACATAAAGGAAAAGTCTCTTGAGCATACTTTACTGTGAACAAAGTGAAAGGTCAAACACTGAAAGCCAAATGCTGCTCAGCTCTTGAATGTTGTTCAGTGCAGGAAACTTCTGGCTTCAACATGGCACTGACAAGGATCAACCATGAGTGAATGCTGAGACTGGCACTGATGCAGAGAAAGCCTGCATAATTCTTCCATGGAAGCAAGCTCAAAGAAGGCCCTGGGAAGACTTACTGGGCAATGGTCATGACAGCAACAGTTCGTTGCCAGGAACAAATCCTCCTGAGAAGGTGTCAGGCCAGCTGCTTCCTTATGGGGCTGGCCAAGCAATCTGTTAAACAGGATCTCATATATGAGCAAAGATCAAGTTCCCTGAACAGAAGAGGGTTTCTCACATTGGGCTAATGTAGGAGGGCTATGAATCTATTTAATTTTTCCTCCTTTTTAATTGATGGTTATGGTTCTTACTAAATAGATGACAACCAAATGAGACTGCATAAATCTTTGATATGGGGTCTGTTCATAGGACATAGGTCACATCAAGGAAAAAAGTTGCTAATTGATTATTAAACAAATGGTAGTTAAATGAGCTATTGGATGCTCTTTGAAAAAAGGCATTGGTTGACTGAAACATTCTAGCAACTGACCATCTATAAGCTGACTGAGCTGACTGATGTATCTGGTCACCTTTTAACTATATGCTCATGAGAACAAAAGCACTCTAAGGTCAATGGATAAAGACATATGGGTTGGAGACCTCATTCTCTTCCTCCCCCTTTCCCTGTTGTTTACTTTGTAGTAAGGAAAGGGGATAATTTACAGGGAGATTGGCCTTTGTGTCTGGTTAGGATGGCAAAGGTTTAAGAGACACCTCAGGGGCAGGCTGCGGGTTATATGACAGTTCAGAGGCTCTGGTTTCTCGTCTTACAGATGGGCTTGGGCACCAATCTGTGACTTAAGAAAATTAAATGCCTGAGAAGACTCCAAGTCTATTCCTTGGCGTTACAGAAGAGCATGCTAAGCCCCTACTGAAAACAACACTTCTCCATCATAGCAATTATGGATCTGACACATTCTACCAACAGTCATTTGCTAATCCTCAAAGTCATTTGAGTTCTAGGAAAACATAAACAAACATGCTAATGGGTGTGTTTTCTCCAACTTGCCTTCTCTGTTCATCCAGTCGGCTGTTGCTACAACCAGAATGGAGCAGACTGGATGGGGACTCGAGCATGTTTCTGTGGAGGGGCCTTAGCAGTCTGTCAGTAAGAGCCTCACTGTTGTTTTTACACCATCGAACAGTCATGCTGCAACTTTTTCTGAGTAGCTCAAAATTTTTATGATTGTAATTCTTATTGAAATTCCTGTGGAAAACAGCCTGCCTGCATTGTGCATTTACCACAAATATTAAACAGCAGTGGTGAAAAGCACCAACTAAGAAGGTCCATTTTCAACACCTTGTGCTTCAGAAACTTATTTAGATGCTTCTTTGCTATATTTGCTTTGGAAAATCTCAATTACTGAGAGAAAACTGGAGCGAATGATGAAAAATGCTGAGTTTTAGTAAAGGCATAAAGATTTAGCATCAGATAAGGATGATTTCTAACATAGAATGCAAAGAATCCTGGGTTTTGAACATGAAGCCACAAGTATTTTTATGATAAGGTTTATGTTTCACTTTCAAATGGGAAGGATAAACAT